GTTTGTTCCATACTTTTTTTTTTTTAATATCAACGGGCCCAAAATACATGGGCTTCGTGGGTAATATATGGGCCTTTGTAACTTACATGAATAGTATCGGTTTTCGGTTCGGTTTGGATAATCGATCTTTTTATTTAAACCGAACCGAAAACCGAAATTTTAAGATAACATAAACCGAGAACTGAACCAAATATTCCGTATAGGTTTCGGTCCAAATTGAATTTTCGATTTCGATCGGTTAACCATATAGTGTGCACCCCTAATTATAGCACACACACTTTAACGTATTTAACTGCCTGACTTATAATATAACAATTGAAATAAATGATTGTTAAGTAATATGTTTTTGTTATTATTTTTTTTATAATAATAGCTTAATTTTAACTTTGTATGTTAAGTTTTCAAAAATTTCTTTAAATTACATTGATGTATTAGTTATTAATTGATTATTTAAAATTTTTAAAATTATATATTTTTTTTTTCATTTTAATTTCTTAGTAAATTTATGCTTACTGTTTGACAGACTACCATTAATTTGTCACTTATACTCAAGATAATTAGTGTTTCTCTCTCTTCATATTCAGATATGTTTACCACATAATTGTTCCCCACTAGTGTGGGATAAATGCATTAAAACTAATGTAGTGTCTTATGGTTAGGCATGCCAAAATAAGTCGGCGGGTGAGCCAACTTGCAGCCCGTCAAAACTCGTTGTTTGGCAGGGTGGGCCGGTGTTGATGATGGAGTTTTCGAGGCCTTTGGACGAGAAGGGTCAAGAGCCGAGATGATTCGAGAAAACCAAGGAAAGGGTCGAAACAATGCGTGCATGACCAAGGAGACGGGTACAAACTCGTATGCGAGGCGCACGAGCACAAGACGGACGACACAAGTTGACCTGTACGCGGCAGTGGCAGAGCTAGCGCACGCGCAAGGATGCACGATAGCGCGAGCATGCGCGCAAGGAGACCCGACAGCAAAGGTGCAGACAGGCGCAATGGCGTAGGCGCACACAGATGAGACGCGAGGACACCGCACAACAACGACAAGGTCTGGACGAGACTCGAGGCAGATGACGAGAGTCTTGTGTGACGGAGCGGATACACGCGAGAGAGGCTCACGTGAGCACGCGGACTGCGTAAGGCATGGGCACAACGGGCCTAAGTGCGCAGCAAGAGCACTCGGATGGGCCTGGACCGAAGAGTGGGCCTGGGTCGGGTGAACAGGGGCCTGGCGAGCAAGGGTCTTGCGAGCATGGACATGGCGAGCCTGAGAGCTGGCAGCGGTCCGAGGTCACTGAGCGGGCAAACACGTGTGCACATGACGACCATGAGCGCTAAGAGGAGACAAAGAGTGCGACAACCCGTGAAATTTGGTGCCACATGAGTTTAGAAGAGGCGATGCCACAAGATGAGGCGCATCTGGTAGAGAAGACACGCACGGCATTGGTGACGCAATCTGACACGCATAAGGTGGTGTGAGGGACTAAGGTCTAAGGGGCAGTAAATGGCAGCTTGGAAAACACTAGCACAACAACACGAGTGCACGGGTAAGACCGCGCGAGCATGAGCAAGACAGCGCTCGGGTCGGCGGGACAGACTGCGTGCAAACGTACAAAGACCGCGCAAGACAACACGAGGTTGCTTAGAGAGGCGCGAGACAGAGCGCACTAGCAAGAGACCCGTTGACAAGCGGAGTGCCGAGCAGACACAGGTCATAGAGAAGAGGCAGCGCGACCATCGCGCTGAGGATGGAAACCTTCGAGCAACCGAGCGACGCATGTGCAAAATTTCTACGGGGATCTTCATTCACCATAAATATGGTGTTTTAGTGGCTTTATGGATGGAAGTCCCATAGATGGTGCCAAAATGGTGTGCAAACGACCTCAACCGGCTCGAACAACCTTGGATTCACTCTCGATAGTTCAAAGACCTAAATAGTAGCGCCAAGAGTGGTCCTTACGTAGAGACTCCAACGATCAAGTCAGTATATGTATGAAAAAAAGACAAAGACCAATATGCATAGCTTGTAATTATATAAGAGTGTGTAGAGTGTAAGTGATCATACCTCACCCCTTTATATAAGAGTGTTACCCTATTGACCAGTACTGCCCGTCTGGCTGCCCAATTGTTCGAGCTGCCCATCCGTACTGCTTGAGTGCCCAAATTGCCTAATTCTATTAGGTCACGTGGTCCTATCCACGTGTGGTTCTTATCTTAATTATATTCATTCTTATCTATTATGAAGTGTTCACATTAAACTACCTCATTAGGCGGTCTAATTGTATGACCAACTCAACTTCTTTAGAACCAGGTTGCTTCGACCTTCAGTGTGTAAGCTTTATCTTTTAGGTCGAGCTATCGATATGCCTTCATTCAAGTCGAGTTTCTATCAGGCTAGCCGAGACTCCTACCTCGACTTGTTGATGAGCTCCATTACTTGTGAGGTCATAATCGATTGGGTGATTCCTCGACCTCTAGTGCCCTTGATGTCCAATCGACCTGTCGGTCCACCCGGTCCAGTCAGACCGCTCCATAGGTCGTCCTAGACCTGGTGTGGTCTCTCATAAATAAGCTTTTGACTTTTAACATTTCTTATGTGGATAGGTAGTGCGGGATACCTTTAACTAAAAATTACACGTGTGAGAGATAAGTGGGGCCGCATAAAGGGAATTGTTTGAGGCTCAATTCTTAGTTCCTCCCACAGAACCAGACTATGTCCATGACCACTAATAGACATAATAATGACAATTGGAATATGTTAGGCAAAATCCTGTTGAATTACATTTATCATTTACACCAAAGCAAAACAGTTCAAAGACATCGCGTCTACTAATCATCTAGTAAAGTTAATGTAATTTTTGAGAACGTTCAAAGGATAACACCTACCTATCATATATAAGAAAAATTGCATAATTATAAACAATTGTTTCAAATTATTTATTTTAACATCAATATTATCTTTTTCTTTTGTATCTCATGAAAAAATTTCTTTAAAAATAATTATTAAATTGTTTTAATAGCATAGTCAAACAACTTTAGAATCTTATAAACTATTGCTTTTGTAATAATAATAATAATAATAATAATAATAATAATAATAATAATAATAATCAAACTGCTATTATCTAATGATAATAAACAATTGTTCATAATAATAAACAATCATTAATTTATTTTTTCAAATGATTAAATTTTAAAAATGTAACATTTTCATTATCTAAAATTTTAATATTAAATTCTTAAATATTACTTATAATATTTTATGTACATATGTGCATGTGCACAGGATATTTACTAGTGTAGGTTTCAACTGCTAGACTTAAAACCTAACACCAAAAAATTTTCTACAGGGATTGTCAAAAGAGAAAATAAAACGTATGAAGTAAAATGTTTGATAGGATTTTTAACTCCATTTCATGAATTAAATAGGATGAATGAGCAAAGAAAAGGAAACTGTAATGGCCTCTTTGGACAGTTGAAGGCTAATTAAATGAAGTGTTGTTACATCATTGAGTGTTGAATAGTACATGGATAACCTATGAAGTGAATATTGTGTTTTTAGTTCATACAACTTGAACTAAAACAGAGAAGAACAAACACAAAAAGTATATGCGGGAAGAGAATCAACTGAGTCAAGGGTTGCTCTTTGCGCAAGACATATACGTTGGTTGTGTACTAAAGGATTCAGGTGTCCCATCCGAAAAGATACATCGGCTACGTCTCAAAAGCTGTAGCACCTCAGACTTCTGAGCTCCGGCGAATATTGTATGTTATAATGCGTAAGGCTTTTTTGGAGAATAAGAATGCAGATGATGTTATGCGTATTCTGCGGCTCTATACCATGTCCTATTTACAGGACTTCTAGCACAAGTGAAGGACCTCTGGTCTTCAACTTGTAAGAGCTCTGCCAGTAACAACCCACTGATGGCTATTGTACATGTGCAGTTTTCCAGGAGTTGAGTCACCTTCACTCTACCTGATGACCACCGAAACAGTCAGATGAATAGGTGAAAGGTCAGACACATCTAGGTACAAAGTACCTAGAGAGGTCTCACATTAGTTGAGTCAAAACCCGAGTCCAAACCCAAGCCCAAGACCGGCCCAAATCGTCAAATACTGCCCAAATCCAGCCCAGTCCAAGGACCAAGTACTAAGTCCCAGGCCCAGGCCCGAACCCAAGCTGGCCGGCTCAGTCGGTGGACGGGCGAGCGCGCGTGTGGCCGAAGTCAACACAAACATTTGGAGCATAACTTTGCT